AGTTATTTATATATATATAAAAAAAAAAAAAAAAATCATAAAATAAAAAGTGAAAGTGAAAATTTAACAGCATTTTTAATGGGCTCAAGATATGGTTACGGGCTTCTTCAAAAGTAAAAAAATAACATTGTTAACAGGTATTGAGATTTTTGTTTTTAAGTTTCATAATTAACCATAAAAATTACGTTATAATAATATAAATTAATGTTATTGATATCTGTATACTTGTTACTATAATAAATATTGAAACATTTTTATAGTTGTTGCACCAAAACTATACCTAAACTTACATAAAAATGAATAGTTAACCTTCACACAAGATTTGCATAATTATTTATTTTTACTTTACTGAAAAATTATTTTTCATAAAGATTTTCTTTCATCTTTAAAGGTTTGTTACTCTTTTAAACTTTATTAGAATGATCAATAATTTGATTTTAAAATTTTACAGTGATTTTTTTTTTTTTTTAGAATGTCATCTCACAGTTTTGGATCAAAGTAAAAATTCTTTAATCTTCCTTGTTGAGGATTTTTTTTTTTTTTTTGTGGTAAATTGTATCTAATGGGAACTTTGAGAGATCAAAAGAAGAAAATTCACAGTAACTTTCAATATAATTAGGGACAAAAATAAAAAATACGGAAAAACAAGAATATTTACGTAACAAAAGTTTTCGTATGGTACTTACTTAAATTAATAACAATATTATATTATTATGATTACACAATGCACTAATAATCAAATATTTATAATATGTAATTTTTTTGCCAAAACTTATCTTAATCTTGAACCTAATTTATTACTTGTTTAAAAATAAATTATTATGAATGATATAAAAACCTATTATACAATAATATATCGTTATGGGTTTTATATACCTACATTTATTAATAATAATGAGTTTTTATAAATAAAAATTGACGAAATTCGTTATTTTGATACATTGATCATTTTTAAAAAAATATTCTGCTTCAGAATAATGTGAATATAAATATGTAAATTATACACACTATTATTATTACTTTTTTTCCAATAATTATAAAACCTACAAAATGCAACAAAAAAAAAAAATAATAATAATAATAACAACTTAATTGATTTATGAAAATATAGGTTGAATATATAACTTAAGTTCATATTATTATTAAAATTATTATTATTTTTTTTTTTTATCGAAAAGTGCATTAATCATTTAAAATTAAATTTAAATTTAAATATACAAAATAAAATTTCAATTTTTCTAGATTTATAGATATTTGTTTACTGTTTTTACAATTTTTTACGGGGTTTTTTTTTTTTAATGATTTAATTTATTTAAGTTATAAAATTATAATATTATTAGAAATAAAAACAAGTTAGCAAATTGGTACAGCTCTGCTCTACATTTTAACGTGTAGAATGGACCGCTATTATAAGTGTGTTAAATTTGAATTTAACAATATATTTTTGTATACGAAAAACGACTTTGAGCTAAGACAGACTATTAGAGTGTTACCTACCCTAACTAAGTTTGTTTAAAAGTTAATATCGACTTATATAACTTAAAATTTAATAATATATTTCAGTAAATATTGTAAATAGTAAAAGCGAGTTTATAGTGTAAATAAATTACATCTTAAAATAAATCCATTGTCATTGCGTACAAGGAAATTCATAATAATTTTTTATACGTTAGTTTCAAGTTCCCACGGATAATTTTTTTAAGTATTACGTGATAATTAACATTGTATTTATTGTCTTAATAAGTTATTTCGTTTAAATTTGAGCTTAAAATGTCCAGAAAGTAAAATTTTTTTAGACATCAGGTTATATTATTTTAGTATGAACTATTTATGAATTTTGTTTTTAATTTTTAAAACTTAGATAAAAAAAAAGTATTTATGAATTTTCAATATTTTTTTGCAAATAACGTATAAGATTTTATATGAGATCTTGTACTAAATTTTAACTTAGGAAATAATTTTTTATCAACACTTGTGAAAAAAAAAATAGTATTTTTATTAAAAGCAATTCAATCATATGTAATTTTCAAAATAATAATTCCATAAACTTTAGTACATTAAAAATTAATTATAGTATAATAATATTTTAATAGATATCTGAAAATTGTTTTTAAATCTTATAATATCGAGCAAAAGTATACTATTTATTATACTTAGTACTAATTTTAAATATTATAGTGTTCAATTAGAAATATCGTATTTTAATTGCAATAAATAATACAATTAAAAAAAATATTAATAATTTAATAAAAATGATTAAATTTAGTTTTTTATTTAGAAGACACATTTTTTTAAATATTTTATGTATAATAATATTGAAAATAACTGTCAATAGTTTTGATAGATCAAGGATTTTAGTACATTTCCATACTCGCATAAATTTAAGTGAAATTATATGGCCAACCTTGAGTAGTATTGACTGAACATCAATTTACAAATTAAATGACATAATGCAATAAATATTTAAAATTTGTTAATGGAATTATTTTATTGTAAATTTATGCCACAAATCCGAAATCAATTTTCCATTTTAAACATGTTAAAATTTTTTATTACGATCTTAAATACTTAGAAACGTATTGTATTTTAAATATTATTCAATTCTTAAAATACATTTTTAATATTTTTTACATGGTATAGATTATTGACATAAATTTTTTACTACAAAATTCTGTCTATATTACGATGATATAAATTATATAACGATATTATAGTGTTACATAATAACTAATTACGATACGGCTTTATCTAATAGAATCAATGGTGTATTGATTTACTCATAGATTTATTCAATTAATGTCCTTTTCCCAGCTGAATACTAATCTCGCCCCTTAATACTAATAATAACAGGTAAGATAATTGTTTTTTTTTTCTATTCAATGGCCCGATCTCTGCTTTTAACCCTTTTCAAAAACTCTAAATACGATTAGAGCCAAGCTGCCGAATTCAGTATCGACAATTTAGGTACATACAGTTTAAGCTAAGTTCATATGCATTGTTTTTATTCTATTTCTCGTGAGTCTCTGACAGGGATGTTGATCAAATGCGGGTAAGCTATGCCATTATTATAGTAATTGTTGGCTGCCGAATTTTGTACAACCGCCCGAATGGTAGACAGCGATAACCAATTTTACAGGAAACATGTAGTAATAATAATATTATAATATACTAGTTTACAGAAAACGACGAGTAAAGCGAACAAACAAATGAGTGAAAGCGGTAGATGACTAATGAGATTAAAGCTGTCTGTATGCTCGATCCTCATGAATCGAATTTCTTGCACTATTGTAATAATAACAATTTTGGCCATAATATTATGTCCTACGCACGTGCATCGGGCACACATTATCGAAATTTCGATGGTAGACATTTCTAAAATTGTTGTTATTACTACTAAGTAATAATATATAATATGCTATATAATTATATTACATTTTGTTTTAAGTATCAAGCTATTTAATCTGTATGTTACAATGATATTGTTTTTAAAAATGAAAATTCAAGTATGTTTTGTAAAAAAAATACAAAAATATTTAATGTAGACTTAAAATTATTTTTTAAGCCTAGATCGATAATAAATTATTATAAAAAAGTTATACATCATAAAAAAAATGTTTTATTATTATTATTAATAGAGTATAATATTTATTACGAAACTGAGTATTTATACTTAAAATACTTTTATTTTATTCAGTTAAATAATTTTATCGTAATACCACCACAAGTACTCTGAAGCAAAATAGTGCGGTCATTAGCTTTTAGCAATCATAATTATTGCATACGCTTAACTATCGACTAGTAAATGTACTCCACTATTCTAACTTCATATGAGTTCACAATAATTGTAAGATTAAATTAAATATTTATATTTATAAATTTTCGCCAAACGTATGTCTGCATTAATCAATGATTTTTATTATTAAGTATACTTGAATAATTGAAAAGTATAAGCCAAAATTATAAAATAAAAACATTTTAAAAATAGGAACGTCTAAAAAATAGTTTCAAACTCGATTTAGAGAATTTTATGATTCTGATACTAATTTTGATTTAAAACTTAACTATAACTATTTGCATTCAATGACACTAATCCCAACACGCATCTCTAGACGTACATGTATATAAATATATTGTATTCGATAAAAATAATGTACCTAGTCTTGTAAGCTATAGCATTTAAGTTTAAAAAAAAAAAAATGGTTTTATTTCAAAGTGTCCGTATTAAATTCAAATTCTTGTTTTAATACTATTTATTAATATAATATTTTGAATTAAAATTAAACATCCCATATAGTGATTTACTCAATGACGAGATACATTCGACACGTTATATTGTATTGCACAGAGAGTTCACCGATTTGTTGATTTTTATCTGTGATATAAATTATTCATTTGAAATATATTTTAATATGTAAATATGTTATTTCATAACTTTCATAAATACTGAAATAACTTTTTAATTTCATGAACATATTTCGTATATATTTTAAAAGGTTATAAGTTTTTATAATATTAAACTCTTGTAAATATTATTTAAACTATCTTCGGTAGCACCGAAATTAACGTCAAGAATCAGACTCTTTTTCGATTTAAGCTCAATATTTTAAATTTATTACTTTTGTATAAAAAACATTGTTTTATTTTCTTCTTAATATAAGACTGAACAACTATAATAGATTTATCGACCAGCCGTTCATATAGCAGTTCAAATGTCAATGGCTCATAAATGTCCACACCAACGCATTTTTTGTCAAGTAAATCGTCAATCATATTATTTCCATATTTTTGAAATTTCAATACTTGTCTAGACTTCGGAGGGGAAAAACAGCTTGTCTACAACATCTGGACCCCAATAATATTATTAAATCTACATACTGCAAAAAATATTACAAAACGAAATATTCCAATATTCAGTGTTTATAATACCAATAATAATACGATCGGTCGGTAACAGTGCGTCTAATAAATAACAATTTATCGTCTAACGTGCAACGGCTTACCTGCGAAAATCTCTGCTCCAACAGGCATAGATCACGGGATTCATGCCACTGTTGATCCACCCGAGCCAGGCGACCACGGACGATAGCAGTTGGTCTTTGAACACGCAGCTCTCGTCGCAAAACCCGGACAGCAGGTTGACGACGAAAAATGGCAGCCAACAGACGATGAACACGCCCATGACGATGCCCAGCGTCTTTGCCGCTTTTTTCTCGCGGGACAGCTTGCTCAGCTTTCGGCTTAACGAGAAGTTTTTCTGCAGCTGGTGAGCTCGCGTGTAGCCTCCGCTACCGCCGTGCGCGGCCGACGCGGACGTAGTCATCCCGCCGCCCCGGTGTATTCGCAATGTGAGCTCCATACGACCGCCACCGGCTCCACCACTACCGCCGCTTCCACCGCCTCCACCACCGCCACCGCTGCCACCACCAGAACCACCGCCGGACGACGGGGTGGACGAAAGCACTTTGGTGCCCAGCCGCTGACACCGAGTTTGCGTGACGGCCGCCGTGTAAATCTTGTAGTAGGTAAATACCATGACCAGCAGTGGCACGTAAAACGATATGGTTGACGAGAATATCAGGTAACCGGTGCTGTTTGTGAACGGACACGTGTTGCTGGGTACCGGTTCGGTGCGGACCAGCCGCCACCATATGATGGCCGGGAAGCTGATAACGCCGCTGCACACCCACACGGCGGCGATCAGCCGGTAAGCCCGCTTCCGGCTCATTTTTGTCGGGTACGTGAACGGGTCGGTGATGGCCCAATACCGGTCTAGCGATATCACACATAGGTTCAGTATGGATGCCGTGCTGAACAACACGTCCAACGACCGCCAGACGTCACAGGCGTTTATGCCGAACGTCCAGTAGTGGTCGAGCACCTCCTGTACGGCGCTTACCGGCATCACCACCAGCCCGACCAGGAAGTCGGCGAACGCCAAAGACGTGATGAAGTAATTGGTCGCCGTGTGCAGGTACCGTTCCCGGACCACCGCAATGATGACCAGACAATTACCGAACACAGTCACCATACAGAACACCATCAACACCGCCGAAAGCGGGAAACGGTCGCCGAAAGTCGATCTGCAAGCTACTGACTCCTCCGTCCCTGTCAAGTCCTCGTATTCGTCTGATGTACTGTTTACCAACGCGGCCATTGTCGTCCAATTCATGGTTGTTTCTATCTGCCTCTCAATGTCTCCTTAGAAATCGTAATATGCTCGATGTATATGTGTATCAACGGAAAATCGTCACTGAAACACGCAATACAACATTCTGGCTTTTATAAAATTTTTCGTGGATCAAAAACGTTTGATCAAAAAGAAAAAAAATAGGTTATTTTGTACTCTTAAGTAATAAATCTACTATTATGAGAATCATTCAAATAATGTTTACACCGAATCCCTATCGACGTGACACGTCGTATTTTCATTTGTCTTATACTAATAACTACCAAGTGCAAATTTCCGAAACGATTACCTATTTCAACTCTAGTCATAAGCCGACTTGTCTTGGTTTAATATAACATCAATTTTATAATAAATATCATTAATTTGTTCATTGCATCGTCAGTGGTTGTTGTTTGTGTTTGAATAATGCATTGTTTACTACGTAGGTACCTACTGTTGCAATGAGTCATCGCAAGAAAATAAACTAGGTTAAATAAGGTTTGAATTTAATTTAGTTCATGCCATTGTTATAATTATTATTATTGTTATTTTGGATTTGTAGATTCATGTTTTTGTTTATCTAGGTCATTTATTATAGATCGGTGCATTTGTCATTATAGACACAAGTAACTGCACAGGCATAACGTACAACCGTCTCTAAGTTTTGTATTTTTCATTGACTTATTCTATCCTTTACCTGGATGTTGTATTTTTTTGATGAACACTATTTCATAAAATTAAATCTTATAATATGATATTTTTATAAATCAGTAAAGTTTATTACAGTAGTACGTAGTGATTTTAGCTTTGTATCACTACAAAAACTATTATAATGATACAAAAATAAAAAAAAACATGCACGTACCTAGTTTGTACCTAGTTGAATTAATGAAATATGTAGTTACTCAACTAAAGAAATATTCAAATAATACACATAAGTGCTTGTATTATCTAAATCAAAAGTATCTAACCCCACGGCTCTCAGCAAAATTGTAATATATCTCCGTGTCGATTTCAAAACTATTGAAATTACTAAAAATAATATAGTACAAAAATGTGTACTGAATATACATGACTGAACATAACAAAAAAAAAAAACTATTTCGAGTAACTAAGGTATAAATGTATAATTTATATTATGTCAATTATATAAATGTGTTATATGTTACAGAAAATTCTGACCATGACAAAATGTACTCACTTAATGCAGTTCAGGCCTACCAAGAAATTGAACACTCCTCAAATGCAGTATTTATTTCAAAGGGATGACCTCCCTGGAGAAAAAAAAATGTAAGACTTATAACGTCAACTAACAATAAAATAAAATAAAATAAATATTATGATAGAGGTTATAGGTTGTATTGGCTGGTCATTACTTATTAATTAAGGCCACTTCTTATGTGAACAAAACTACAAAAATAATTGTGTTCTACTTCTCTTCATTATTTGCTCTTATCTTACTGTACCCTTTAGACAATTTACGACCCCCTCCCCCCTCCGAAAAAAACACTGCTTCAAATCTGTAGTTGTAACCACTCTTGATTTTAAGGTTTATCATTATTGATTTTTATAATATGTATTTTATTATTAAAATATACAATATTGATACTATTAATGTTTGTATATTAAATTACTTGTCAAAATTCATGATATAACTGTTATTATTTAAATAGTATTTCTAAACAACGTTATACCCAGTAACGTAAACACGATAAATTTTTCAGCTCGCTTGAATTTTTTCACTTCTTAAAAATGTAAAACTGTTTATCAAAAAACAGACACACACACACGCAAACATCACTGGTTGTACTAAGTTATGTGGCAAATAAATTTTTAGAGTATTAAAACATTTAAAACCGCAATTAGACCTTAATTATACGACGAGGTGCAAACAAAGTAGTATACATGTATAGTCTGATAATTCGTATAATTATAATATGTTATTACATACTTTACCAGCTTTATTGACTTAAAAAAAAAAAAATGAATAAATAAACAAGAACATTTTTCGCATACTTTTAAAGTTTTTTATGGTTCCGTGAACATTTTGTGAAAAAAAAATTAAAATTAAATAAAAAACTCACGTGCTAAAAAAATATACTGTAACATTATTGCTAACTGTATCATGTTCCTTTAACTGTCACTCATGTATTTTAATGACACAGTAATCTGAATCTTAAATCAGACAGAGCGAGGGTCGTAACAAAATGAACCGTTTAGTCTGTTGAATAACATCTCACAAGAAACTATAAATCATGTTTATTCAAATATCTTCAAAAATACGCGAGCACCCTGACAATATGAGCGTGTATAGTAAGCGCTTTGATGATGGCGAAAAGGTAGGGTTGAAAACGAGCGTACAAAATGTTATTCCGGTGAGTAAACTGCCAACGGGTAGGTTATTATACTGAAAGAACAATGAAGGTCGCGCATGACGTATCGGGCTATTACGGGGTCATTTATGGAGGAAACGTTTCCGGCTCGGAACTGACACAGGAGAACAAGGAAAAAAGACACTAGATCCGGTGTATGTGTGTATGTGTGTGAACTTACTACTATTATAAAAACGTGCATCAATGACTATAAATTATTTAGATAAAAAAAAAAAATTGTAGATAGAAAATTTAGAGCTATAATATAACAATATAACAATCAGCAAAGAAGAACAAAATAAGCGTGTTACGTTTTTAACATTGACTCTTCTTTATAGATTCGTAGAAATACAATGAAGAATTTTTATATTAATTATGAACCAAAATAGATTATGCTTAAAAAAATAAATAAAAAATAATTTTTATTCGACTAGGATTTTTTAATGTTGAAAACGTGAATAATTCGCAATTTTCTCTTTATCATTTTATAGAAATCATTAAAAAATATAAATTAGTAATTATTCAACTTCAAAAAAATTTAAAAAATACATACAAACTAATATTTATTTATTTGTTTTAAATAGGAGAAAGATTATCGGATTATTAAAATAAAATAACAAGAAATAAACTGAGCATAAAATCAACGCGTATTTATTTTTGTATGTTTTATGTTATAAAAATGTTTGAGATTGTATGAATTTTAATAAGTAATTTACTACGTATCCCGAGAAAATAATAATATCTAAACTTCGATAAAATGATTTTTATTGAAAAATCAAAACAACATAAAAACTTTTTTTTTTTTGATAATACGTATATTTTTTATACTTTAATGTTAAGAACTTTAAAAGGTAATACCATAGACCATAGTGAAATTTTAAAAATAAATGTTTTTGATAAATCTGAAAATTTACAAGAATTTTATTTTTGTTTTAATTAATTATTTAGTCTTTTCAAAGATGTATTGGTAAAGTGATGTAAAAATACTATCTCTGCAGAATTTTTTTTATTTATTGGATGGAGGTGTGTAATATTTACAACTTACTGACATTGACATCAAAAGTATTTTAAGTATTTTGTAACTACTTAGTTAATCCTTTAAAAGTCTAAAGGTGTCTCTGAGTTTACTTACTTAAGTATTTATATGCACAGAATAATATTATAAATAACTTTTTTTAACTTTCATTATCCCAAAAAATTATGAGTACAGTTTGTATAACTGTTTCTTTAGCAAATTTTAACCAAATAAATCAATACTTTATAAGCGATTAACCTATATTGTTAATTTTTTAATTGATTTTACTCAATTCAAATAAGTATTGTAAATCATAAACTTGCAAAATTTCTTGCTGTTTAACGAGTAAAATTATGAAAATGAATATACCTTAATAAAAAATAATCAATAATTATTGATAAAATATAACCAATAAATACTAATTTTTAACAAATAATTAATTTTGTTTTTTAATTAAAATATTATCCTGGAATTACTTCTTAACTTTTTTGTTAATTCAAATTAGAGTTTACCGTAGAAATTTTAAAATAATCAAACGTGGTTAGTAGTCTATTGTATTAAGAAAAAAAAATATTTACTTAATAATATAAAATTATCTATATATATATATTATATATTAATAATAAAACTAATTATGTAAGGTTAGATTTTTAGATTAGTTATATTATTTACATGATTCATTTTTTGTAATACGAGTCATAAAAAATATCATAAAGCTACAACAATATCAAAACCAAACAGTCCCTAGCATATATATTTAAAGGGTTATGACGTGAAAAATTATAACGATTGACGTATAACTATAATTTGTTATATTATTATGTATGTGTGTATATATATTTTTACACTATCTTCAAAATATTTTAAACATTTGTTCAAGTACGATCGGAATTGTGATGATATTTTTTTTCTATACTATCAAAATGTAAAACATATAAAAAAACCTCTAAAAACAAAAATAAAGTTATCTTTTTTTTTTATATAGAAAAAAATAAAATACATCAAAGCAATATTTATGGCAATACACCTTTATTTCGATTTGTTGCGATTTAGCCTAGTTAACCGACAATCAAAATCGTTTAGTGGCTCATCGTTTTTTAATATATTAACAAGAAGTCGTCACTTTTTTACTCCTACATACCACCATTACTAATACACCACATTCGTATAATAATTTACGATAATAATAACGAGTAATTATTACACATTGAACTAAGTCTGTACACTTATTTAACTAGAATATAAAAAATAATAATAAAACACATTGAATAATATTATGGTTGGGAAATGGGATAAATGTATATATTATGTGTCACATTCTCGTCAAGTGGTTCACGTACAAGAAATAACTGACAATTTTTTTTTCAGAGACACAGCTATTATTTGTATAATAATCGAATTTTCAAAACAATAAAACTATCACATTTTATTGATTTTGAGTGCGGTGGTACATCGATCTATTTGGTTTTAAACCAGCTAGTACTTTTTTTAAGGTTTATGTTTGAAGCTTTTATAGGCACTAAAATAGCTAGAAAAGTTTTACAAAATACCACTATATATTTTAAATTGAACACTATTGTACCATAAAGTGGTCATTATTTAGGAATGTTCCAGTTTTTTTCAGGAGAAATGAAAACAGAATAGAAATAAGTAGTTATATTATACGATAATCAATCGTCTAAATAAAGTATTGATCA